GCCAGCAGGCCCAGGAAGCTCTCCCAAGGATCCGATCTGGTCTGGCTGGACTGGCCAGGGCTGGGCCAGTCCTGCGGGTGGGGGTGGGGTAAAGTGGGGAGAGCGGACAGATGGCTTCCAGGGCCTTCCCCATGGGCAGGGTTGCCACAGGCACCCAGAGTCCAGGAGGGGCTCCCCACTTCATCAGCAGGCCTGAGTGTGAGTCAAGCAATCCGCAGACGGGGAATTAGGACCCTGCTGCCCTGAGCTGACAATGCGGGCGCGTCTCCTCCCCTGGACACTCCCAGCTCTCCACAGGGCACTAGAGATGCACTCGTAGCCTCCTGGGCCCTGAGCTGGCAGGTGAGGAGGGGGTGGTCAAGATGTGCCCCTGGGGAGTTTAAGGGGCTGCAGGCCGGCCCAGGGGCCCATGGGGGGCGGCTGCAGAGAATGATGGCAGACTCTGTGCTAGAAACTCACAGCTGAGCATATGGGAGCATGAGTGGGGGACATACCGATGGAAGGAAAGATTGACACGGAGCTGGGAGTAAGGAACCAGCAAAGGAGGCTCATGCCGTGCACCTGCAGAGATCGGTGGGGGCTTCCCTGGCAGAAGACGTTCTGAGTTAGGCAGGGGGGACTCCATGGTCAACGTAGGGGTCCCCAGGACACCTGGTCAAACCAGATGGGAGAGAGAAGGGGGGTTTACCCTAGGCCTTGATGTGAGTGGACCCCTCACCTTCCCCCGACTCTGAAGAATCTCTGGTTGAGGCCTCCTAGCTGCATTCCCAGAACACCCTGGCATGGGGCCCGGGGAACACCCCCCCACCCCGGGAGCAGTGTCCAAGCCTGGTCAGCAGGGAAGGGGTGGCGGTGGGGGACGCGGCCCCCTCTCCTGAGATGTTCCAGTCACAGCCCCGGCTTTGCCCCCTCAGAGGTGCCACCTCAAGGAGATTACACGCCCTCCGGTAGGATGTCACACCCCACAGGCCTCTCCTCCTGGCTTGTGTGAGGATTAAAGCAGCATTTCCCAAAGTGTGGCTGGCTCGTGGGCTGCCCGTGTGGGAATTCTGGGAGCGTCTAGGAGGGAATGAGGAAGCACTGATCTTCATTTTACTCTGATTTGTTTATCTAATACTTGTTATTTCTTTTTTTTTTTTTTAAAGATTTTATTTATTTGTTTGAGAAAGAGAGAGCATGAGCAGGAGAAGGGGCAGGGGCAGAGGCAGAGGGAGAAGCAGGCTTCCCGCCGAGTAGGGAGCCGAACATGGGGCTCGATCCCAGGACCCCAGGATCACGGCCCCAGCTGAGGGCAGATTCTTAACCAACTGAGCCACCCAGGCATCCCTAATATGTTTTATTTCTTTTTTTTTCTAAAGATTTTATTTATTTATTTGAGAGAGAGAATGAGATAGAGAGAGCATGAGAGTGGGGAGGGTCAGAGGGAGAAGCAGACTCCCCGCTGAGCAGGGAGCCCGATGTGGGACTCGATCCAGGGACTCCAGGATCATGACCTGAGCCGAAGGCAGTCGCTTAACCAACTGAGCCACCCAGGTGCCCTAATATTTTTTATTTCTATTGAAAAAAGTATGCCACTGCCGCCTGAAACCTTCAGTTTTTTAAAAGATTACTGTGAAAGTCAAGGCTAAGTTGAAAAAAGAGAAAGACAAAAAGAAAGAGAAGCAGAAAGACATGATCTAAATAAAATAGTAATATAAGTGGAACCAGTGGTATTTATTCCTGGCCTGTTCCCCCCCTCCACAAGACAACCCCGTAAGAACAGGAATTTTATCTGATTTGTCTCCAGTTGTGTCCCCAGTGCTCAGAACAGTGCTTGCTTGGCATGTAATAGGTGCTCAATAAATACTAGTTGAATGAATAGTAAAAATTAAGAAAAGCACACTCAAATGTCTGCCTTTGAGCAAATAATGGAATTACATACAGAAAACCCTCAGCAGCGCCCAGCACATAAGAATTGTTAAAAAATATTCATTCACACACTTACTCTTATGAAAATTATTATTATTTACAAGGACAACAAATAGGCATTCTGGCCAAATGCTGACCAGCTGAGCATTAAAATCAGGATACGCCCAAAGCTGAATATCACCCTCCTAGGATGAACTTCTGAAACATAAAAGCAAATCTGAAAACGTATTAAACATTTATTACTGTCACAGTCTTCTCAACCACAATCACAGCGGGCCAGTCTTTCGGGCTGAACACTTGAGTGAGGGACAGTTTGTCCACTACATCAGCTGCCAACATGCTCCTATAGTCAATGAGTTTCTGTGGAGGTTCTAAAACACGGCCCCGAATTTTTTCAATGGACCGAGAGGCAGGGTCTGTCTCTCTCTGTTCTTCTGAGTCTGGGCAGGTTTGTGACACCTTCCACCGACTGAGTAGAGCAGAAGGGAGGCTGGGGTATAAGAGGCAGTGTTTGCTGAAATGCTCCCTGGGGAGCCTGAGACCCCTGAGAAGTCCCAATGTCCTGAGGCAGCCGTCGCTCGGAGGCCAGTGAGCTGGTAGCTGAGCCCAGCCTCTGAGCCGCTCCAGCCCAGGCGCCGGACGTGTGAGTAAAGCAGCTTCCCTACCCCTTGTCTCTGTCCAGCGAGTCCCTCCATCCTTTAGATCTTCCAGCTGAGGACCCCGACATCACAGAGCAGAGCCAAGCAGTCCCTGCTGCTCCCGTTTGACTTTCGGAGCCACGGAATCCACGAGCATCATAAGATGGTTGCCATTGCACACCACTAAGTTTGCGGTGGTTTGTTATGCAGCCACGGAACTGGAACCACTGCCCACGTGATACCGCAGGATTTAAATAGTGTTACTTTTCCTGCAGAAACGAAAATCCACTCCCTGCTCGCACCACTCCTTGAATGTTCATGGTAATTATTTCCGATCATCACAATCATTGTTAATCATGGTGGCATTTTCCTTGTAAGATAACTATTGTGAAAGACTGAACGTTTCTCCTTCCGCTTGACTGGGAGGACGCCAACTTAGGAACCGTGTGCGGAGCTTTCCATTGCAACTGACATCCAAAAGTCTTTTCTATATTTGCAAATGAATATTCAGCTAGAGGCACTGACTGTGAATGCAAAGCCTTGCTTGTGCTCCTGATATGGTTACATTCAGTGGGCCAAATCCTTCTGGCTCGGAGATGCACACCAGTGACTCAGAAGTTTAGAGTTTGGATAGTCAACTTTTCTGAAGACCAAGACCCCAGCAGAACATCAAGACAACCCTGGATTGTCGTCATGGTTCTAATACCTGTGTGGCTCCTTGGGGAGAGGGGGCAAGATTGGTGGGGGCAGGAGGAGAAACTGAGGCTCACAGACCCCTGGCAAACACAGGAAGCTGGTAGATGGCTGTCGAGTGAATCATGGTCTCCCTTAGCTGCCTCCCTACCTCCAAGAGAGCAATAATGGTGGCGGATGCCAGAGTGGCCCCCTGGTTGACCTGTTTCTGGTGGACCTGTTATTGGCTTTTAATGCCCAAACATCCACTAGATCCCCTAGAATAGGGCTGCCTCCTCTCAGGTCCCCCAAGGCAGGCCATGCCCTCTTTTGTCCCCTGCAGAGCTGGGTCAAGTCTGCTCAGACCAGCCCCCTCCTGCCAGGGTAAGCTGTGTCCCCTTAGGCCCTCCAGGACATGGTTGTATCTGTGCAGGACCCCCACCGTGGGGCCGTGTTCTCTCCGAATCCCTGAGCTTCATAAAACACAGGCACCGTTCATTTTTCAGCTAATTACAAAATTCTAACAAAACAATGTGTGAGCCAAGTCTCAAATGAACATCTCAGATAGGATGGGTAGGACCGTGCAGCCTCGTGCAGACGTTTGGAAAACCTGCCTGGAGCTTGCAAATGAGATTGGATGGTGGTGGGGGTGGGTGGTGGATCCGGAAGGACAAAGCAATGGTGGGCATCAGCCACGCTAAGAGTTTGGTATCCAGGGAGTGATGCTTGGAGCATTTTCCAAACAGTCTGTAATTCGAAGGCACTTTCCTGTGTCTGTGTTTTAGGAAATTGCTTGGGTGCATGCAGTTGATAGGCAACACACTATAATTTTTCTCACTGGAAGTCATGGGAAACAGGCTCTGGTGAGCATTTTCCTGCAGACCAGCTGGTTTTCAGCAACACGTGGACTATTAGGGCAGAAAACGCTCAATTTCTCCCAGTTTAGGGGCAGCAGCACCCCCTGGTGGCAAATACAGGAAACACCCCCGGTGGCCGGCAAGCCTCCATGAGATCTGCAGATGCTCTAGGGAACAGAGTGGATCTCAGGGGAAGCTGGGACCCAACCTCCAGCCCTGATGAAGGAAGGGGCAGGGCGTCTCAGGCTCTGCTCATGGGGCCTGGTACTCCTGTCTCCACCCTACAGGGTCCGGTTTCTTGTGTTGGCCTATGGTGAATGTCTCCCCCCACCAACATACACTGGGCATCTACAACCCTTTTTTTAGAAAAAGCACTCCATTTTCCTTTGGGGAACCCCCTACGCTGAAGTCATATAGTTCTTGATGGTCAACCCCCTGACTCCATGCATCACATGCACCGTGATTTGATGAAGGATGAGCCTATGACCCAAATCTGCCCAGTGAGAGCCAGGCCTGGGCCTTTCTTGCTGTAGCTATTGGGAGAAAAGCATTTCCTTTCCACTGGGGCTGCTAAGTGGTCCATGGCCTATCAGCCTAGCCTTTGGGTGGGTGGGGGACATCTCTGTCTCTGGTTGTAGGGGAGGCTTCTTGCAAATAAAGCTTTTCTCTGTACAAAAGCAGATTTTGGAGAGGAAATGAGGCAGTCTTGATGAAAAATATTTGAGCAGCTGGATCCAGCAGTACCTGAAGCCACTTGCTCCAGGGCGTTTTCAGTTAAGTGAACCAATTAATTTTTTTTTCTCTTAAGCCAATGAGAATTGGAGGATAACGCTCCCTGCCTGATTTGTGCTAGACCCTAATTTCTCTCTTCCCTCCTGGACAAATGTCCTCATTGCTGTTTACACTTGCAAACTCAGAGGCCATGTTAATCAAAACCATCTTTATTATTTAAAGAGCATCGTGTCATCACGGGCACCTAGATGGGGGTCCCCAGATGGCAGAACAATATTTACATGGGGGTCAGGAGGGTGAGGCTCGGGTGGTCCCAGGGCTGAGTGGGCCCGCCACTGTGGAAGAGAGGAGCCTGGAGGGAGGGTATCCTTGGACCTGTGGGCTCAGCCCAAGAAGAGAAACATCCCATTCCGGGCCCAGGGTGAACCCCACCAGGTGGGGCTGGAGCCCCCTAGGTGAACTTGGGCCCTGGAGGCGTGTGCATCAGGGAGAAGCCACAGGTCAGAGCTGGGTCACCATGCCGCTGGCTTCGGAGTGAGTCTGGAGGAAGACAACTGGGGGCTTCTGAGGTCTGAGAGGCTTCCCCAGTCCCACAGCTAACCTCCCCTCCCCACAAGCCCTTGGAAATCCATCTGTCCCCTAGGGCACCATCTTCTGGCCTGAGCACAGGTTTCCAGAAAACCCCTGCCTCCTCCCCTTTCCCCATTAGAGTCCCAACACTCCCCCCCTCTGGCTCCCATCTGGGCCTGACGTTCACCTTTATGGCCTGGAAGATCCACTCCCGGAAGTCACTGACTTTGGTGTAGACACCCGGCTTCTGGGCCAGAGCACAGCCGGTGCCCCAGCTCACGATGCCACATAGCCGCCAACGTAGCGTCCGAGAGATGCTGTCCTCACACACGAAGGGGCCACCGCTGTCACCCTGGTGTGGGGATGGGAGGCCGGGCTGGAGGCCAAGAGGGCATCCGGGAGGCCCTCTTGGATGGCCAGGGGCTGTGGCCACAGAGCCCTCTGGCCCTGAGAGAGGGAGCCCGGCCACCCACTGCCCTGTGTCTCCATCCCTGGAGTGGCAGGGGCTCGGGGCTGCCCCCCACAGTGCCTCACCTGGCAGGCGTCAATGCCGCCCTCAGGGTAGCCGGCACAGAACATCTTGGGCTTGATCTGGTTCGCGTAGAAGTCGGGGCCGTTGCAGACCTCACTGCTGATTATGGGGACTCGGGCCTCCTGGAGTACGCCAGCCTGTTGGCCTGGGGGTGTGCGGGCAAGGCTGGCCGAGGCTGGGGAACAGGCGCGGCCCCCTTCCCTCCTGCTGCACCCCGCCCCCCAACAGGCTCTTCAGCGTCCCTGGGCCCCAGGGCCAAGAAGCATTTGCCTTTCCAGCCAGACTGCCTTTCCCCAGCCCAGTTCCGTCTCCCTCACGGCGGCTCTGCCGGCAGAAGACGGGACTCACCGTAGTACTGCGTGTTGCCCCAGCCGGTTACGGTACAGATCTTGCCGTCCACCAGGGCCTGGCCGGCAGCCGGGAGGCACACAGGCTGGATGTATTCTGGGAGAGAGACCAGGCGGTCCAGCCCCTGCCGGCCTGCCCCGCCTGGAACAAAGCCTCTGTCCAGCAGCCTCAAGGGCCCCGGCGCACCCTCTCCTCTGTTCTTCTAAAATAACCACAGCAGGGGGCACCTGGGTGGCTCAGTCGTTCAGCGTCTGCCTGCGGCTTGGGTCGTGATCCCAGGGTCCTGGGATCGAGTCCCGCATCGGGCTCCCTGCTCCGTGGGAAGCCTGCTTCTCCCTCTCCCACTCCCCCTGCTTGTGTTCCCTCTCTCGCTGCTCCCTCTCTCTCAAATAAAAATGTTTAAAAAAAAATAAAAATAAAATAACCACAGCAGGAGCTGGATGTCTTCCTGCCTCAGTTCCTCCAAACTCCTGTCAGTCCAGAGAGCGAGGGGCTACTATTAGCTCATTTAGAGGAGGGAGATGAAGCTGAGTCACTTATCTGAGGTCTCATAACGAGGCAGTGACAGAGCTAGAATTTGGACCCAGGTTGGCCAGATTCCCAAGCCTGCGTTCTTAACCGTGGCCCACAGGCTGCCCCCCGCCTAGAAGGTGCCTTTGTGAGAAACAGAAAGGCATCCCTATCTCGAGATACTTGATGTCCATCTGCCAGAAGATCATTGTACTAGGTACACAGGTCTACACCAACAACAGTGAGAATGGCGCCCCTAAGATGGGATGTCCTTGTGCAGTGCGCAACCTACACAAGAGGTCCTGGCAGTTCTGTCTACAGCCTGCCTGCTGGCGACTTTGCAGGCCTGAGCATCAGAGCTCTCAGGTATAAAATGGACAGAATAATCATTTCCCTCAGAGGTTGGGGTGAGAAACCGGTGAAGCCCTGAGCAGCACATTTGGCAAACAGGAAATGCTCCCGTAACTAGTAATAGTAATAAACAACAGCAATGACTGCTCGCATTAACTGAGTGCTCATCTGTGTGCTGGCATTGCTCTAAGCTCTTTACTCATATTACCCTTCTTTTTAAAAGATTTTATTTATTTATCTGAGAGAGAGCATGAGCCGGGGGAGGGGGGCGGGGAGGGGAGGGGCAGAGGGAGAAGCAGGCTCCCTGCTCTGCGGGGAACCCAACGTGGGACTTGATCCCAGGACCCTGGGTTCATGACCTGAGCTGAAGGCAGCTGCTTAACCAACTGAGCCACCCAGGCACCCCTCATATTACCCTTTCAAACATCTTGATAACTCTAGGAAGTCATTTAATGGATCAGGGAAACTGAGGCACAGAGAGGTGAAGCCAAGATTACATAGCTGGCAAGTACCCGAATCTGATCCCAAGCTCTATGCTTTTACCCCCTCGGCCGTGTGTCTCCCACCCCAACCCCCTGTGCTTCCATGGACACTTCTCTACGTCACTATTTGGAACCCCTCCCTAAAGACAAGGGTTTGTTTCATTTTAAATGTGTATCATCCCCTTCGATGGAAAACCAGGAACACGGATCATTCAAAAGAAAATAACCATAAAGAGAAGTAGAATGCAAGCCACAGAACGGTCCCAGCAGCAAAGCCTGGGGGTTACACACACAGACTCCCACACCAGGCGGCCTCGACCCAAATCTTTGCCATTTTCCAGCCGCGGGACTTCGGAGCAACATTTACCTTCTCTGCGTGGGGGCCTCTCCCTCTGTGTGGGAACACAGGACCCTAAGAGGGTCCACCCTCCCAGGGCTGCTGTGGGGACTGAATGCGTGCAGGCTGGGGACATGCAGAGAACAGGGCTTGGCACACAGGAGGTGAGGAGCGAGTGCTGGTGCTAGGACATCATCACTGGGATAGTATCGTATCGTACTATTTCATTATCGTTATACCGATGCCCGCTGAAGGCTCATCATCATCCGCTACTATGACTTCATCAGCATCGTTTTTATTAATAGTGTTGTCACACTGCGGCCTGCTGAGAGCCGGTTCTCAATCCAGGGCATGCAGTGTTCAGTGGAGAAGCGCTAAAGACATCCTAGGCCCCAAGGGAGTCTTTCTCCCTGAGAGCGAGGAAATGCTCCGGAAAACTGCGAAGGGAACATCTTCTGATTCCCTCTCGGGTTCATTCATAGATTTTAAAAGTTTCCTTCAGGGGCGCCTGGGTGGCTTAGTTGTTAAGCATCTGCCTTCAGCTCAGGTCATGATCCCTGGGTCCTGGGATCGAGCCCTGCTTTGTGCTCCCTGCTCAGCAGGAAGCCTGCTTCTCCCTCCCCTACTCCCCCTGCTTGTGTTCCCGCTGTCGCTGTGTCTCTCTCTGTCAAATAAATAAATAAAATCTGTAAAAAATAAAAATAAATAAAATAAATAAAAGTTTTCTTCATTTCACTTGTGGTTTTTGGTAAGAGCTTTTCCGAGACACAATTCACACACCACACAGCTCAGCCCCTTCAGCGGGCAAGTCGGTGATCTTTAGGGGGTTCACAGAGAGAGTTTATCTGCATGCCTGGCAATAGGAAGGTGCCACTGTGGCCACCATTGATTTGAGAACGTCTTGATCAACCCCAAAGAGAAATCCTGTATTCTCTACTCGTCACCTCCCAATCTCCCTGTCCCCATCCGCCCCCCCCCCCCCCCCCACCTCACACCAGCCCACCTCCCTGGCAGCCACTAATCTACTTTCTCTCTCTCCAGCTCTGCCTATTCTGGACATTTCAGATAAATGGACTCACATACTGGCCTCTTGTGTCTGACTTCTTTGGTTTAGCACAATGGTTTCAAGGTTTATCGGCTGTGTATCATGTGTTAGTGCGCCACGATTCTGTCTTATGGCCAAATATTACCCTGTTGTATGGATCTACCACATTTTGTCTATGCATTTGTCAAACAAACATCTGGGCTGCTTCCATCTTTTGACTGTCAAAGTGAATAGAGCTGCGTGAACACCCACGTCTAAGATCTCGTGTGCACCCGTATTTTCATTTCCTCTGGGCACGGAGCCCCGGGTGGATCTGCTGCGGCAAATGCGAACTCCGCGCTTAACCCCCCTAGAGGTCGTTTTCCTTATCACCACGGAATCCTATGGCTCGGTCCTCTGTCCTCCCAGCCTCTGGAGTCCCCAGGCCAAGGCTCATCCCCCAGACTCACCCGTGAGGGGCAGGGGGCTGGACAGGTGGACCAGGGCGATATCATTGCTGTTTTCCTCACTGTTGGGGTCCCGAAAGGGGAGATAGCCCCCGTGGTAGACTACTGCCTGCACCCCCAGCTGCAGGCCATGGGGTGAGGCCTGGGCCACAGCGCCGGCAAACACTCGCCATCGAGACAGGACCCGGTTCCGCCTACCAGGGAATAGGAGAGGAGGGTGGCAGCTTCCCCGGGCGCAGCCTCTCCCACTCAGGGCTGTGGGGGACACTCACTCAGGGAAGCAGTGGGCGGCTGTCAGCACCCAGTCTCCGGAGAGCAGGGACCCTCCACACAGGTGTGCTCCATCGTAACGGAGACTGACTTGCCACGGCCACCTGCCCAGGCTGGTGTCTTGGCCTCCCACGATGCGATCCACAGGCAGCTTTCTACGGCCACAGTCTGTGGAAGAGGCAGATCAGGGGCAGCGGGAGGGCCTGGAACCTTCAGGACACAGCCCCATCCCTGGGGACCTATAGGAACACGGCCCTGCTTTGGGGGCCTGAGGGGACACGGACCTGCTACCCTGGAGGAGTCAGAGGACACAGCTCCACCCTCATAGGATCTAAGACAATATGGCCAGTGTGGGGGTAGGGGGTGTCTGATGGGACGAGACCCTGACCTGAGGGTTCTGCGGAACATGGGCCCACCTTAAGAGAGTAAGGAGACATAGTCCCATCCCTGGGACCCTATGGGGACAAGGCCATGCCTCCCTAGGGGAGTCCGAGAGGACCCAGCTCCATCCTTGTAGGGTAAGGGGCTATGGCTGGTGTGTGTTGGGTGGGTGTGGGGGGGAGGTGTCCGATGGGACATGGCCCTGCCCTGGGGGGGTCTCAGGGAGAGGGTACCGAGTAGCAGGGACTCACCTTGGCAGACGGTAGCCAGGAAACGGCCCCTGGGACAGTCACTGTGACAGAAAGGGGCAGAGGTGGAAACAAAAGGGGAGGCCAGTTCAGGCAGGAGAAAGGGCCCCCGAGGGCGGGCAGGAGGGGCGCCCGGGCCCCGCGGTCCTCCTCACCACACAGAGATGACCTCGAGCAGCCTCCGGGCCAGCGGCAGCCTCCCCTCGTCCACGCAGAAGAAGCCCGACGTGCCGTTGGCACCCGCCGTCCGCACGTCCAGCTCCGAGTGGCCCAGGGCCCTGGGCAGGCAGGGGTCAGGCGTGCTCCTCCCGCCCCGCCCCTCCCCGCGCCCCCCCCCCCCCCGGGCCACCCGGTACCTGAGGAAGCCCATCTCCTCGCAGCCCAGGCCCGCCACCCTGGCGTTGGAGCGCGAGGAACACAGCAGCCGCCACGTGCCCTCCGTGTCGTCGAACACCATGAGCCGGGCGTCGGCCGGGCTGACCTGCACTGCAGGGCGACAGGACGGCCGCCTGGGTCACCTCCCCGCCGCGCCCCACCCCCCAGCCCGGCCCCGCGGAGCTCCAGGCCTGAGTCTCCGCGGGGGGCCGATAGGAGCTGGGGCGCGCCTGCGGGCGGGGAACCTGGGGACCTTCCTGTCGCCTCCCTGCTCCCTGAGCTGGCCGCGCATGCGCCGCAGCACGTCTGGCCCTTTGCTCGGACATCAGCTAGGACATCGGACATCGGGGAAGAGGGAAGCGGTTGCAACCACGCTCCCAGGAGAATGGCGTGTGAGGCTGGAGCTGCTGCGGGCCGTCTTTGCCCCCAATGTGGGGGAAAAATAAGCCAACGTGGAGGAAAGCCAAGAGATGTCTGCCCCTTGATGGAGCCAGACGGGAAAGACCCCCAGAATGGTTGGATAAGTAAGTGAATTGTTCCCCTTGTTGTTTAACCAGTTTTTCTCCTTTTGTCTTTTTTTTTTCCTCTTTCTTTTTTTTCTCCTTTTTTTTTTCTTTTTTTTTTCTCCTTTTGTCTTATGCAGCCTGAAGACCCTTGACCTCAGAGGGCCAAAATATTTAGATACCCTATAGTCTTCAAAAAAGACAGAAAAAAAGAAAGAGAAAAAAAAGAAAGAAAAGCTATCTTTTCTGCAGGACCTGTCCAAGCCTTGAATATATTAAAGTGCAATTCTCCAAGCTGACGATGTAGTATTCATTCATTCATTGGCTCACTCATTCATTCATTCACCCGATAATAAGCGTTAACTGGACGTATACTCCATACACAGCCCTGTTGGGGGGTGATGCTGGAGGCATAAAGATGACCAAGACAGCCCTGGGCTGTGCCCTCACCAAACCAAAGTCTAGGATTGGGGGAGACAGACAGCAATAAAAAAGTCACTCAACCAAGCACGTCATCACAAACTGTGAGAAGAGATGGGATGAAGATATAAGAAGGCTGGAGAGAGCACATGAGGGATTCCTCGTGTCTGGGGCTGGTTGTGTTGAGAACCGCCCATCCTCTTAGCTCCTCCCAGGCTGCTCCCCACGCATGGCCAGAGGACAGTCTTCCACATCTAAGCCAGGTCACAGCCCTCAGGCCTGTTTATTTACATTTACCACTCAGGACGTGCTAGGCTCTATTTGGGGGCAATGAACAAATCGCCACGGCAATAAACAGATCAGACAAAATCCCTGCTCTGTGGAACTCCAGGACCAGTAGGTGAAATGGGCAACGAAAGGGACAAGTAAGCAAAATAGACGGTGTGTCACAAAATAAGGAGCCAAGGAGACAAATCCAGCTTGACTGAGGCAGGGGCATACTGGCGTGTGGGGAGAACTTGCCATTTCCCGCAGGAGGGCAGGGAAAGCTTTTCTGAGAAGGTGGGGTGTGAACATAGATCTGAAGGAGGGGAGAGAGTTGAGAGAGTCGTGAAGGTAGGTGAGGGAACAGAGAACTAGGCCACAGGAACAGCAAGGGCGGAGATCCCAAGGCTGGTGGAGGTGGGGGCGGGGGTGGGGGAGGAACCGCAAGGAGGCTGGAGCAGAGTGAGCGAGGGGCAGATGAGCTGGGAGGAAGGCCAGGTCCATGCGAGGACTTAGCTTCTCCCGGGAGAGAGGTGCAGCCAGGGGAGGCTCTGAGCCAGCAGCGCCCTGACCCAATTGGGGGGTTCACAGGCTCCCTCTGGCTGCGGGCCAGGGGCAGACTGTAGGGGACGCCACAGGAGCAGGGAGCCCAGGGAGGGGCTGCTGCGGAGTCCAGGCTGGGGAGGATGGAGACCGGGGCCAGGGCGGGGGCAGAAGGGGGAGAAGAGTTTAGATTCTGGAGAGATTTTGTGGGTCAAGCTGACAGACTGCATGTGGCTGTGAAGGAAAGAGAGGGGTCATGGACAACTCTGGCGTGTCTGGCCTAAGCCGTAGAAGGATGCAGCTGCCATTGACCAGGATGGGGCAGGGCGCAGGGGGAGCAGGTTTGGGGACAGGCCAGCTGTGACCCCCTTGGTCCTCCTGCATTGCTGGCACCCTAGAGCACATTCTAGGAAACCAGATCTGGGGCAAACTCAGTTTGGCCTCCGCCGAGCTGAGGGGTCTTCCCCTCGCCGCCTGATCCGGACAAGGGACGCAGGAGTTCTAGACCCAGTTCTAGAGGACCCTGTCTTCTGAGAACCTGCCATGTGCCCAGCACTATGCCTCACGTTCTCCCTGCCCACCAACAGCACGGCCTCGCCACACCACCCCAAGGCCACAAAGATCATCCCCATTCTGATCAGAGGAGGAGGCTGAAGCTTGGAGAGGTGGGGTGTCTTGCCCAACATCACCAAGTGAGTGAGAAGCAGAGACGACTTGCATTCAGGCCTGCGTGACTCCAGACCCCAAGCTCTGCATGTTGGCCCGGACAGCCTGTCCAGTGACTTCCTTACCCACAGTGATGGCTTCCTGGCTGCCTTGGCCCCTGCTCTGGGGTGGGGGCAGGCGATGCCTGGCACCCCTGCGGATGGCACCCACCACCCCGAGTTCCAAGACCAAGACTTGGGGTTTGAAACACCAGCTGGGGGTAAAAAGCTTCCAAGTATTCCAGATACGGTAAGGTTTTAGGGGGAGAAAAAGGATCACTTTATGGATATGTGTTGGGGGAGGGAGAGGGAGGGAATATCAAATGCCCCCTCCGATTATTTTTAAAGCCACGTTCTGTGCCACTGTTTCTCACTTTTCGACTCTTCATTCTTGTTGGTATTCTTCGCAAAAAAAAAAAAAAGAAAAGAAAAGAAAAGAAAATATGTTCTGGGTCATCTGGTTTTGCTTACTGAATTGTCTGATATATTTAGAGGTGTGAAAATCCCAGGAAAATGAGGTGGAGATGTAGTTTGGGGGTTGTTTTCATTTGTTTTGCAATTTCCCATCATTTTTGGAAAACCCAAGTACAAGTGAAGGGCAGGAGTGCTGGCCGTAGGTACTTTCCAGCTGGAGGTCAAGGGCAAGTCAGTTCATCTCGGCGACTTGTCTTGTGCATTAAGCAAAGACCTCCTGAGTACCCACCATGTGCAGGACACTGTCTGGGGCAGCAAACCCAGGGCCCCTGCCCTCCTGAAATTCCCCAGAAGTCAAGTGTGAGGAGAATTTTACCCTGGGCAATAGGCATGGCCGTGGGGTGGGGGGAGCATGGGGCCTAGGGGTGCAGGAAGGAAGGCTTTGCTCAGCAAAGTTAAAGCCTGAAGGTGAGACCCCAAAGCCACATTTACCAAGTGGACTGCATCATCTCTCCTTCTTCCCCGTGGCCCCCTAGCTTATGATTAAGGAGGTTGGGACCCAGGGCAGGACGGATCTGAGGCCCTAGAACTCAGCAGAACCTCGAAACTGCTTCTAGGTGTGAGCAGGCAAGAGGTGGTAAGCCAAGACGGTGGGGCCAGGAGGGCCCTTCAAGGGCATGAGAATGGCCCATAGGCTGGACGCTGGAGAGCGCCAGAAGCAAGCGTGAGGTGAGGGCGGAAGAGGGGTCTGCCCCCTAGGAGCCCTGGAGCCTGCAGGGGGTTGAGACTTTAGCCCAGTGGCAGTGGGGAGCTATGGAGCCACGGAGCTATGGAGCGGCTTCTGGGACATGATCCCTCTGGCCTGCCGCTTCTTCAGTGTGTGGTCTTGGGCAAGTCAGTTCACTTCACTGGGCCTCAGTGTCCCCCATCTGCAAAAGCGGGGCAATGGTAATAGGTCCAAGGTTACAGCGCGGGTGCAGCAGATGGTAGCCGTCACTACTGCGAGTCGCTTGGCTGTTTCTCGAGAAACAGCACAGGATAGTAATTCTGCATTGAGCAGATCTAGACTGCCTGGGTTCGAATCCCAGAGCTGCCGCTTCCTAGCTCTGAGACCTGCGGCCAAGTCGCTGGACCTTTCTGCGCCTCGGTCTCCCCATATTAAAATGGGCTTTTGTGAGGGTTTAAAGAATTGAAACGATAAAGCCCCGAGGCCTACACCTGGTACCTGTAAAGGCTCACTAAGTGCTGGCATGGTGACCAACGCTGATGTAGGCTTTCCTTGTCCGGATTTTCATTTCTTCTCTTAGCATGAGCTGAGTCCTTTATGGAATTAGATGAGGCTCCCGGGAGTGAAAAACACATCCCATCACCCAACTTCCCCTTTCTTCCTGCTGTGCTGGGCATTGGAACGGCAGCTGGGGGCTGGCACCCGGGAGAATTCATCCATTCATTCCACATTTAGTTTCCACATCTATTATTAGTGTAGCCGTTCATTCTCAGCTGCCTGCAGACCCAGCTCTGCCAGGCCGGTCTGAGAGCTATTCCTGGCCTCATCATCTCCCAGCTGTGTGTCCTCTCTGGTCTCACTTTCCACATCTGTAAATGGGGATCATAGCAGCAGTACCCCCCTCCACCCCCCCAGAGAATGAGAAGGGGTCGCTAAATTCATATAGCACCTCACAAACGGGCTCTGACCATGCCTCGTAGTAAAGAGACGCATTTTTACATTTTATGATGCAGCCCTGAACTTGTGCTTTCTGGAGCAAATCACTGCATTGCTCTGAGCCTCAGTTTCCCCATCTGTAAAGATGGAGAGAATAACAGCACGGCTCTCATGGAACCAAAAGGAAAGATTAACAAAACTTTCCCGTGCTGAGAGAGATGCGCTGTGGTCTTTTCTAATCTAATCTCTTTCATGCTTTTTATTTTTTAAAAGATTTTATTTATTTATTTGAGAGAGAGAATGAGAGAAAGCACGAGCAGGGGGAGTAGCAGAGGGAAAGGGAGAAGCAGGCTCCCCGCTGAGCAAGGAGCCCGATGCGGGGCTCGATCCCAGGACCCCGAGATCGTGACCTGAGCCCAAGGCAGTCGCTTAACCGACTGAGCCACCCAGGCGCCCCTCTCTTTGGTGCTTTTTAAAATGTGGTTTCCGACTCCCTAGTTTTATTTCATGAGGCACTAACAGGTAACACATTGAGAGTCTGGAAACCATAAGGCAAGGTGGAGTGCTCAGAATGGCACCCTGTCCCAAGCAGGTGTTCAATCTGAGGGCTATCAGCATTTCTGCACATGCTCACGCAGTCACTCGGAAATTTTTCCTTGAGCTCCCACCAGGGACAGGTTTCCTCCGGGGCTCCCCAGAGGGTCCCGGCCTGCTTTACTCACCCGGATACAGCGGCTCCTGATCACTCTTGAGTAGAAAGGTCACTGCAGAGAAGGCAGAGGTGAGGGCAGGCAGGCAAGGGGCTGCGGGGCAGGGCAGGGGAGGGGAGAGGCGCAGGGACCGCTCTCACCAATGGCCCAGGACGCTGCCCCGATGCCTGTCAGGAGCAGCAGGGTCCCCGCTGTGAGAGCTGCCACCTTGGGTCCGGAACAGCATGGCACAGTCCGGCCACCTGCAACAGACACCATGCTGGGGCCACTGCCAGGCCGGTCCTCCTCGCAGCAGGGTCTGGGCACGGGGCCAGCTCTGCCCTGCCCGCCCCCCTCGCCGGCTGCCATGCCCTGGGTCCGCGCCCTCCCCTACAGGTGTCCTGCCCCCCCCCCCCAGCCTTCCAGCTGGGAAGGGGTGTGGCTGGGACCGCTGCCACCGTCCCCGCCCTCCTGGCACTTGCGGGCTCTCTCCTCCCCAGTGACACTGCACTTTGCTATCTCCTTCTTCTCTTGAACCTCTCACTTCTGCTCCCTCTCTCAGAGCTTCTTAGAGCCTCTTGGGCGCTGCGACCCCTGACCTCCGCCCTCTTGGCAGCTCACTTCCCTGCTCTTTGGCATGTCCTCACTGCTTCATCCCTCTCTGCCCTCCCAGCCCCTCTGTCCCTGGGCATCTCCCCAAACCAGCCCTCACCCGCAGGACCCTCTGGAGGTTCAGAACCTAAGTTTGAAAAGTTGCCAGCCTCACTTAATAATATTGGCCTTACCCCTCCCGGCCCTGGGACCTTGGGTAGGTGGCCTCACCTCTTTGAACCTCAGCTTTCTTGTCTGTTTAATGGTCACCCACCCAGCACTCACCTCTAAAAACAATGTTTTAAAGTTCTCTTACATCATAGTAGCTGAACTCTTATCACAGGCTTGTTCTCCCAAGCACTGTCCTCGTTTGGGGGAGGATTCCCATTTTTCGGACAGGGAACACTAAGGCTCAGAGAAGTGGAGTGACATGTGCGTGGGGACTCAGCCAGTGGGAGGCAGTGCCGAGTCCTGGACCCCGGGGGCACACGGGGTGCTGGGGCCCAAGCGTCTAAGTACGAAGCCACTCCCTCTCCCTGCGCCATAAGGCCTGGCAGAGAGCAAGTTCTCAGTAAATGCTTTTATATCGTTAGAGCTGTGTGTTCCTGGACAATACCCTTCCCCTCTCTGGGCCTGTTTGCTCCTTGGTAAAAAGAGCTTTGTTCATTCATTGTCCTGCTGAGCATCCACATTCCAAGACAGATGAGATGCTGGCTCTCATGGGGCTCACATTCTCTTATGTGTAAGGTTGAGGGGAAAACATAAACAATAAACAAACTTGATCATTCCCAGATAGTGGCAAAGTCTATGAAGAAAATAATGCAGGTCGGGGGGGCGGGTGGCTTCTGGAGTGGGGTGCTGAGGGAAGGCCACCCCAAGAAGTGACCTTTGAGCTGAGACCTGAAGGCTGAAACCATCCACGCAAAGATCTTAAGGAAGAGCCCTCTGGGCAGAGGGGACAGCACAGGGAAAGGCCTTGAGGCAAGAATAAGCATGATCTGTTCGAGAGAGAGACCACAGATATGGCCAGGATGGCATGAGTTTGGGGAAGGCAGGGACCTAGGCTGAGAGCAGCTAGGGAGGCCGCGTGGCCTAAGGGGAAAGGGGTTTTTATTCCCAGTGCAACAGGGGCCCTGGGGATTAAAAGCCAACCCCTTCGCTAGGGATTGTGAGATGGCCTCTGCAGGACATCTCCAGGGTGGCAGGAGTCCCAGCTCCCCCACCTGTATCGCAGTCTACAGCTGGCGGGCACAGGGCCAGACCAGCACCCAGAATGGAGCAGGGCATCGTCCGGGATCTTCCTGGGACGGTCATTGTCTGGGTGTCTTAAGAATTTGAGAGCCCAGCAGTTCCCTTCAAGGCAAGAGCAAACAAATACACCCTCCCTCCAAAGAGGCCGCAGGGGGCCAGGCCAGCCCTGGCCTCCCGCCAGCCTGCCAGCTCTGTTCCCAGCCACCTTCCTGGTGCCGGTGGGAGGTCTTGGCTCCTGCAGCCATGAGGCCGAGAGGCCGGTCCTGGTCCCTTTGTTCTCAGGGGCGCCTATCAGGGCTTGGGGCCACTCCGAGCCCAGCCCAGGGGCTTTGGTGCGTCTACTGGGGTGGCAAGCATTGAAGGACCTCCTCCCGCGCCCTCCTTCCACGCCTCAAGCGGGTGCCCTTGGTAGGACAGGAAGTGTCCTTACTCTGGGTCCTCCCAGTGTGAGGGGCACCCTCACTGCACGTCTTTCCTGAGGCAGGAAGCGTCCTCACTCTGGGTGTGAGGCGGCAGCCTTTTCGGGATTCCTGGCTTCTCCCTGGGGCGCTGCTCTCTGCTCCTCAAGGGCGCCAAGGGCCGCCCTCACCTTGGGTCTTCGGCCCCCACCCTCTGGCAGCTAAACTCTCACAGGGGACATCTGTGGCTCCTTGTCTCTGAAACTCGGCTCAGTCAGCAGCTTGTGTCTCAGCCCTCGGCGTCCCCAACTCCAACTTCCTGAATGAAAGGCTCTCCTTTGGACTCTGAGACACCGCATGCGTCCGATTTTCCTTCCACTTCTCCAACAGGGGCTTTCTCCATCCGCTGACCTCGTCCTGCTCCCTGAAACCTGGAGTTCACAGGGTGCGACGTGGCCTCCTCCCCCTCATGCCCCCTGCTTCCAAGTCTGTCTTACACACCTCCACAGCCTCAGTTTCCCTTTTCTGTCCTGCAGCCTTGTAGATGCCTCCCCCTGGGACCTCTGGGTCCTTCACACCCCCCAGGTCCCATACCGGCTTCAACGTCCCCCCCAATCCCCAGGTCCCGTCTCAGAGGCCCTCATCCTCAGGACTGTTCCTCATCTGCAGGACACCTCCCTCCCCACACAGCTTGCAGGCCTCCTGAGCACCTCCTATCCACTCTCCCCTTCCCTGCACCCAGCCCCACCCAAGGCTGGGCTCAACCTGCCCTCTGGCGCAGTCTCCACATGGAAGCTTGAGGATCATCCTAAGCACCAAATCCACCCTGTCCCTTCTTTACCTAGAATCCTTCATGACTCCCCAGTGTCCCCAAGACAGAGTCTAAGACCCTCAGCCCTGTGGTGCCAGGCTTTCTAGGATATAAGCATGGCCATTAGAGATTTGGGAGTCGAACCTATGTTTCCCCAAATTCCCAGACAGCCTTATGGGTCATTACCAGACCCCTGACAGAGCTTCCGGCAAGCAACCAAACCCACAGAACTTGTAAAAACACAAGTCAGAATAAGAGAAACAAAGAATGACCACCAGCGCCATCTCGTGGAGAGACCCAGCACTGCCGGGGCATCCCCCGGCCCATCACCAAAAACAGTCCTGAGAGACGAGGCTCCGGCTCGCTCACCTCATCCCTTTCCCGACTCCACTTCCGACACAGCCTCCAGAAATACCCGAACTCTCCATGTGCCACTGCAGGCCTGGCAGCTCGTCAGCCCCTGCCTCTGTCCGTGCTCTCCCTCTGCCGGGCACCCCCTACCTATTCCGACTCACCCTGCGCGTCAGCCCAGCCCGTATCACCTCCTCCAATTCTGAGTCCCCAGGGAGCACCAGGCACCTTGCCTTGGGCACACTTGGAAGTTAACACAACCTGCTCAGACTCGCACGCCTAGCCCTGGCCTGCACTTTCCTTACAGCCTAGCCCCCGGTGTTAGTAAGGAAGGTATCATTATCATCATCCCCGGTTTGCAGATGAGGAAAGAGGGCCCAGAGAGGCGCAGCCAGCTCCCCGGGGTCACCCAGCAAGTAAGCATGGCACCAGAACCGTTCGGCGTCTGGGTCCAGGTCCTGCCACAGAACCAGGTCGAGCTGCCTGGGGACGCACTGGAGCCCACTCTGCCTCAGTTCTCTCTGTCCCCAGACCATCTCTGGCCATCCTTCCGGGCACGATCTGCTTTTCTCCCGGGGTCATTCACTCATAGGCCTGGGCCCTGGAGACTCCTGTCAGTCAGCTCCAGGAGGAACATCGTCCCTCAGGGTCCGGGCTCTGCCAGCCACCTGCTCAGCAAGGGCACAGTGTCCCCTGTCCTGAGCCACCGGGAGCCTGGGTTTGCTCTGGGCCCTAGCTGAACGGTTTGGGATGTGATTTGCTAACTCCTGAGAGCCCAGGAGGCCAGTGATCCACGCGGCTCATTTCAGCCAACACAACCAGCACCCCCTAATTCTCATGCCCTTTAAATCCTCACGCCACCCTGTGAGGGGCGCATTCACCCCAGCTCCATTTTCCAGATGGACACTGAGGCCCAGAGAGGGTAAGCCGCTTGCCCAGGGCTTCCCAGCTCGAAAGGGCTATCACCTGGAACTGAAGCCCTGCTAGCCTGCTTCCAGGAAGAAGAGAGGGAGCCAGCCCCCGCTGGAGAGGGCAGGGAGGAAAGGCTGCCCCTGCTCGGGCCCCTCCAGCTGGCTCCCACGTGTGGCGGAGGTTGAGAGGGAGGCAGGCTGTCCAGAGCCCCAGCCAGGGCCTGCCAAGGGCCCCTCAGGGCCAGCCACTCAGGCGGGCGCTCGCTCCCATCATTCCTGGAACGGTTCCTCTGGGTTCTCTCCCCTCTCCATCCATCCCGGCCAAGTCCAAAGTCCTCCCTCTGTTCTTTTGCCCACAGTGCAAAGAGGTGGGAGGAATGTCTGGAATTGGTGGGGTTCTTGGGCCCCTGGGACACCGGGCTGGCCGGCCGCGGTCATGTCTGGTTCATGGCCTGTGTCTCACATGCTAAGCCCTACACTGATGCCTCGTGTGGGTTCCATGCTCCCGGCAACCCCTGTGTGTGGCTAGGCAGGTAGCCTGAGGATCTGTGCTTGACCCGGGGCCGGGGGGGGGGGGGGCGGGGGGGGATGGATCCCAGAGAAATGACGTCACTCGTACGAGAGAACACGGCTAAAAAGTGGCGGAAGCAGATTTGAATATAGGCCTGTGCATTCAGCTCCAGAGTCTGAGTCCATAACCGTGAGAGCTGGTCTTCCCACCTTAGCCCCAAGTGGGGGGCAGGCCCAGGGTTAGCTGAGAAATCACTGGGGTGTGAGGGGAAACTGAGGCAAGAGCCAGGAAGGTCATACGGGGTAGCAGGAAGGCAGGTGGTAGCACTGCCCCACAGAAAATTTGGTTAATAGTTAATCAGGTGGAGGAGACTTCAGAAGGGGGTGGGGGTGGGCCCAGGAGGGGTGCCAGAGAGAGGGGGCTCTGAGGGGGCGGAGGGTTGGGAGCAGAGCACAGAGGGAGGGGCGCCAGGCAGAGCCAAAGTCAGGACTCAAAGAAAAGGGGACTCACCCTCCTTCTCCGCCATGTCACGGCCTCTTGTTAATGATTCCCCGGCTGACCTCCTGGGCCAGGGTGGGACCTGTGGGGAGATGAACGGAGAGGCAGGGCCTGGGGGAGCCGAACCCAGCCCCTGTGCCCCCAGTCCCAGGCGCCCATCCAGGGAGGCTAGACGGACTGGGCCCTGGCCAGAGCACACCGTGATCACGGACGCAGATCAGGCTGGGTTCAAGGATGGGGTCAGTGTCTGACCAGCAACCAGGGGATGCCTGGATTTGCACGGTTGGGGGCCCCTTTCCTGGGCCTGGGGGAGGAGGGGACTGAGGGTCTGAACACCTGGCTCTGAGGGAGTAGAGAGACCTGAGAGCCTGAACTCCTGGGTCCTGGGGAAAGAGGGATTTGGGGGCTCAGAACTCCTGGGTATGTGGGAGGAGGGGCATAGGGGCCCAGAGTCTTGGGCCTGAGGGAAGAGGAGACCCAGGGCCCAATCTCTGGATCTGAGCAACAGGCGGCTGGAGCTCTGAGTTCCTTGGAGAGACGTCTGAGAGCGCACTCTTGGGGCCCCCGGGAAGCCCACTGTTGGGAGGTGGGCATTCGGTTGGTGTGGGCACGAGGGCACCCATGCCCGGGCCCAGAACTGAGGGCCCCGGTCCTTACCCTGGGGTCCGACAGGTGGGGGCGGAGCTGAGAGATGGTGCCCTCTTCGGGTCAGTCTCCAGGCCTGGGCAGGAGCATGGTGGCCCCGCAGCAGCGGTGGCCCGGAGGCGGAGGCAGCGGCGTGGGGCCGGCTAGGCCTGGCGGCCTCACCTGAGGCGGAGGGGGCGGGGCCGGAGGCGGGGGAAGGGGCGTGGAGGGGCAGGGCAAACGGATTGGCAGCGCGGGCGGCCACCTGGCTGGGGGGGCGGGGTTTGCAAGGGCCGGAGCTGCCCGGCCCAAGCAACCTGCGGAGCCTGCCTCCGGCCTGGAGGGGGCCCAGGTGTGCCAGTCGGAGGGGAGGCGGGAGCAGGGAGAGGTTTGGCCCGAAGGCAGGGGCTTTGAGCAGACAGAGCAGGCTGGGGCGGGGTGCTTACGAGGACTGAAGGGTGGGCCTTTGAATTGGAGGGAGCCAGATAGAGGGCTCCAGCTGCCCCAAGCCCACCCTGCCCCTGCCACTTCTTCTGCCTCCCGCCCAGCCCCTGCCTTACCCCCACCTGGCCCCAGCTCAGGCCTAACTCCCTCCCTATCCACCCCTGTCCCTTCTAGCTCACCCCCCACCCCACCCCGGCCCCCTGCCTGAACCGAGGCCTACCACTGCCCCCAGCTATTTCCCGGCCCCGAGTCCAGCTCCTGAACAAGGCAGTCCTGGTCCCTGCCCCGGCCCTGGCCCTGGCCCTGGCCCCAGACCGCCCCCAACTCCTGCCCCAGCCTCTGCCCCAGCCCCCTCCCCCCAGCTGCCTTCCTACAAGTCACGGGGGCTGGTTTGCTTTGGCAGCCTCTCTGCTGCCTGCAGCCGTGACCTCTGGAGCCTGGAAGTCCTGCACCGGGTGGGGGGATGGGGGGCTTGGCCCGGAAAAGGCAGCACCGAGTGCTGAGGTCCAGGCCAAGTGGCCGGAAGTGTCCACAGGCAGATACACACTGTCCCGCCAGCAGCCAAGAGTGATCCACGTCAGACCCCAGGGCCAGATAAACACCCAGACACACAAGGGTCACCAGCAGCCACCTGCTAGTGGATAGCCATGCTCCCAAACCCAGACCGCGGCCGCTCATCCCACACGCTCGGCCCCACGCAGAGCCACAGTCTCCCACAAGGGGGTCACGCCTGGGGGCGGGCACGGGTGCTGCCAGCCCCTAATCTCTCTCTGCCCCTCCCCCCATTTGCATCTTCCTCTCCCTCCCTCGCCCCTCCCCAGCTCCCACCACAGCAGAGAGCCACCCTGCCAGGAACACAGCAAACCACCAAAACGCCTGCCGCCTCCCCTCCCTCCATGGCACCTTCCCTTCCCTGCTGCCCCCGTGACTCCTCTCTGGCCCCCTCCCAGCCTCCCATCCCACTCATGGTCCCCGCTGAGCTAGTGACCCTCCCGGTCCCCACTAATTAAGTGGCTGCACCTTCCCCCTCCTTTTGCCTGAATGTGCACAGAGGGCGGGTCCCCGGGAAAACGGAGGCTTTTGGATTTGGGCGGGGGTGTAGAGGTGACAGGGCTCACGAGAGAGACTATGAATCAAGTCCAAGAATCTTTATTTCCTGAACAAAACTACTCGTGTGAAGAGAGAAGAGGCTGAATGGGCCTTTCTAAGTGGCCACAGTCCAAGGCTGGTGAGAAAGGGCAGGATTGGGCTGGGGCAAGAGTGCATCACAGGGAGAGGGGACCCCAGGTCCAGCCAGAGGAAGGAGGGGAAATGTCGCTGGGGGTCGGGTCGGAGTGGGTCCAGCACCCCCTGCCCCAACCTGTGCCGGCCCATCACGAACCCCCCACTGGGTGGAGGAGGGGGGGCAGGGAGGGGCTGGGCCCCAGTAGTGTGCATCTGAAGCGGCCGATGTGTGCAAATCAGCAAGAAGGAGGGGTGCGGAGCCGCTGCCCCCACCTCACCGCCCCCCCTCCTAAACAGGCAGCAGAAGCAGGGGTGGGGGCAGCGGCAGTATTGCTTTACCCATCATGCATGGCGTGGGTGGGCGATGGGGCAGGAGGAAGTGGGCTGGATTGGGGGTGTGAGCCAAGCCCCCTGCCCCCTCCCACCCTGGCAGCTCCGTTGGCAGGACTCTGAGGCTCATGGAGGCCCAGGGATGGCCAACCCGCCCTGGGGGCAGGCTGTGCCCAGATGTTCCCCATTAGGGCTGGCTCTTCCTTGAGGTGGAGCCCAGGGCCTAAAGGTGAGGGAGAGACAAGTATCAGGGACCTAGTGGGCTGACACTCGCCCAGGCCCTCCAGCCCCTGCCCACCCACCTACCTTACCGGGGCTATTCGGCCACCTGGACACCCGTACAGTTCTCTTTGCTTTCTGAGGTGATGGCCAGGTATTCCGAGCTGGGGGGGCAAAGGGCAGGTGTAGAGTTACCCCCCTCATCAGTTTGGCCCACCCCCGGGAAACCGAGGAGGGTTGGGGTCTCTGCCCCAGGTGCACAGGGTTCTGGAGTTAGAGAGAGGCGGGGACTGCAGGCTGGACATCTAGGGATCCGCAGGAAGTCCAGGCTGGGGCCTGGAGTCCTGAGTCTGAGGGAGGAGGGGACCTCGGGGGGTCAGACTCTGGGTCCCGACCCTACCCATCCGTGACAACAGATGTACCCCTCTGGGAAGCCCGCGTGTCTGGGTCGCCTGACCGCCTCCCCCACCAGCGCCACTCACGCATTCTCTTGTGCAGCGGCCTCCGTGGCCGCGGCGACCTTCTTGTAGCAGTAAACCATCTCTGCCACGAGCCATATGGTCAACACCACGATGAGCACATACATCATGATCTCCGACACGATGGACGCCATGTCTCTGTTGGCTGCAAGGGCCAGGCAGGGTCAGGTGGCAGTCAAGGCCAGGCTCGGGAGGCATGAGGTGCTCCCAGCTGGCGCTGTGAGCTTGGCCAAGTGACCTGGGTTCCCTGGGCTCCCTGGGCCTGGTCTGCAAAGGGGACTATGCTGTTTCCCTAGCGTCATCGTTGTTACTGTGATTTTGTTTGCTTCTTTTAAAGTAGGCTCCCCACGCAGCATGGAGCCCAGCGCGGGGCTTGAACTCACGACCTGTGATCAAGACCTGAGCTGAGATCAAGAGTGGGACGCTTGACCGACTGAGCCAGCCAGGCGCCCCGTCACTGTGATTCTTAATAACCAGCGTCCAGTGGGCTTTGGGATCCCCCTCAACCTGCCCCCCTGGGTGGCCGGAGGGGGCATCTGTGTCATTCAGGAGGCTGCAGATGCCCGAGAGTTGCAGCTCTGCAACCAGAAGGCTCGGGTTCCGATCCCGACTCTGCCACTTGCCACCTGTGTAACCTTGGGCAAGTGGCTCACCCGCTCTGGGTTTGAGCTTCTCCATCTGTGAAAAGCTGATAATCACAATATCTCCTTCTTGGGAGTGTTGTACAAATGAAATATGCTTCAAAAATCCTTGGGATAGGGCTTGACATATAGGTAGCCCTCAACACCTGTTTACTATTATTAATTCTACTATTACTGTTATTATTGGAGCAGTAGAGCATCGTAGTTCAGAGCAGGGGCTCTGGGAACCGGATTCAAATCCTGACTCTGCCTCTTATTAGCTGTGTGACTTTAGGCAAACGACTCCACCTCTCCGAGCCTCAACTCGTCCTCTGTAAACCGGCGGCGATAATCCTCATGCCTTCTCACAGGGTTGCTGGGAAGAGAAAGCAAGTTAATACCCGTAACAGGCGTGGACGGGCTCGCAGTGGGCACCGCCTCAGTATATTGGCTCTTCACTGACATTTTCCGGAAGCCTTCTGTCCTTTCCGCGGCACTGGCCCTTGCCATTGCCAGCTTCCTTTCACTGAGCCTAAATTTAAACTGTGAAGGGGATGTGCTCAGCCAGGGAACCAGAGGCGAAGGCCGCTGTGACGTCCTCGGCCGGATTTCACAGGTGTCCGCCCCGTACGCCCGGGCGTCTCCTTCCTGGTGGCCAGGACCTCATTTCCCCCACTGTCCTCAAATGGTCTTTCCTCCCGTCAGTGGGTACTCTCTGCTGCTCCGCCCTGTGCAGATGGCACTGACGCTTTCTGGGCCAGAGTGAGGGAGGGCGGCAGGGCTGGATGTTTCTCCCCTGCTTCTGGGCCAGGAGGAGCTGGGGAGAGGGCTCCACGCATCATTCGTTCATTCGAAAGATAGGAAGGCGTCTCATACAGTGAATGCCTGCTTTCAGCCAGGCTCTGTGCCAAGTTCTTTATGTGAGCGTCTCCCTGAGTCCCTGAAACACCCCAAGGATAGAAAGAGTGCTGGCTTCCCACGTCAGCTGGCCTCAGGAAGCACACTGAGGTGGATATATGTTGGAAAAAGCGCACATCTTCAGAATTCTCCTCCCTGCTCCTGGAACCCGGTGCTCAGATGGATTGAGGTAATCTGGCATCTCCTGCTCTCCCAGTCAGATGAGGACGGTGATCGACCGGCACGGCCCTGTAGCCCATTTTCCAGAGAAAGACACCGAGGCTCAGAAAGGGGACAGCGCTGGACAAGGATGAACAGCCAGGATTGGACTCGGAGCCAGGATTCAACCCCAAGTGTAACTGATGGCAGGCTCTGAGCTCTTCCCTGCTCTGGAAACTACCGCAGCCGAAGAAACACTTGGTAAAGGGCGCTGTATGTCAAATGCAGTCTCTACTAAGCCACACAGACATCTCAGGAGGTAGGACTGTCATTCCCCTACTTCACAGACGAGGAACTGAGGCAGAGAGGTCATGCAGAGGGTAACAGGCCCCTTCTCTGGGGAGAACTTTGATTTCTTCAAAAGCCCCCAAATCTTCTAAAAGCTGGCAGCCCCCCAGATCTGAAGCTCCAGCCTGCCCCCCTGCAGACTGGATTTCTCACTAGCCTCAGATGCTGCTTCCCCTTAAGACGTTCTCCACCCATACCGGCCATAGCCGAGATAGAAGTAGCCCTCTTGTCCTCATTTGCCGGCTCCCCACTCGTGCTGGGGGACCCCCAGGTGCTTCTACCATCTTCCACAGCTCTGCTAGCTCAGGAAAGTTCTCACCACCAACACCCACTGGCCCTCCTTTGGAAATGACTCCATTCATTCCTTGCGGTATTACCAGGAGGCATTCTAGGCTGATGGGTAATGCTGAGAATGCAGTAAGATAGTGGATTATAAAAAAAAAAAAAAAAAAAAAAGAATACGGTATGGCGGGCAATGCGAACAGTACAGTAATAACCACGAGTAATCACAGAAATACTGTGGTGTGATGAGTTATGTTAAAAATACTACAGTATGCTGGCTGATGATGAATACAGTTGAACAAGTAAAACTTTAAAACACTACAATATGATTAATCTAAAATACTATAGCATGGTGGGTAATGTTACAAATACTCTAGTATGATGGACTACGATAAAAATACTGTTGTATTTTTGGTAATGTTAAATAGTATAGTATATAGTAATATAAAATACCGTACTATGGTGATTTAAAAAAAAAACCCACTAGAGTATATTGGATACTCCCGTAGACTCTGGGAAGACAAAATAAAGAGCTGTGCCTGCCTTTGGTGAATGTGAAGAACACAGGCTCTGGGAGGTAGTAGAATATGGTAGATCGTGCTCGCGCCCCAGCCTCCGTCCCGCAGATGAGGACAGCATTCCGAGCAAGGGCCAAACCACAAGAGCCACAGGACGAAGGGAACCTGGGAACCTCCCAGCTCTCCTGACCCCCTCGCCTCGGCACTGAGTCGGGAGACAGGATTGACACAGATTTTGTGAAACCTCGGTATTTGGGGGCGTTTCTTGTTACAGCCACTCCCAGGGGGCGGGGCTCCGTCTTCTACATCCGTGGGTGGCCGCCCACCCAGCATCGTGACCTACGCCAAAGAGGAGCTCACACATGTCTCCTGCACTGAATCCTGCTGGTTCACTTTGATAACAAACGTAAAAATGCTAATTATCAAAAGAAACCCACAGGCTCTGGCTGACGGCAGAGTGTAGTGAATCACACCAAGAACAGAAACGGCAGTCACACGTGCTTGGCTGGGTTCAAATCCAGGTCCCAGCTCTGCGATCTCGGCCACGTGATCTTACCTCCCTGAGCCTGGGTTTCCCCACCTGTAAAGTGGGGCGAGTAGCGGCCCCTAGCCAGGAGGGTGGGTGGGGAGGTTCAATGAGGGTCTGCACCCCTCTTGGGGAAAGGAAGGACAATGCACGGTGCTTGATAATGCGCGTGCGCTGTGGGCCCCATGGGCCGTATTTGCCATGGCTCTTTGGTGGCTCAGGTTCTGGGATGGTGTCCTGACTCTAAGCCAATGGGCCCTCGGGCCCTGGAAAATTCCAGTTTACACTCATCGGAAGATGTTTCAGAGAAGGGATCCAAGGCAGCTGGAGCCAAAATGATGACATGTCCCCAAACGCCTTAGATGCTTGCTGTTCCGTGCGGCCCCACACCGGC